GGGGGAGGAGGGGGGAGAGGGGGAGGAAGGAGAGGAAGGGGAAGAGGGGAAGGAGGCTTCTCTTCTTTGAGGTGAGTTTCAAGGCTCTCCAGCCTGGTCTGGGAGACTCCTAGAGTCAATTAGATTCCTGCAACTGTGCTTTCTTGAGCAGCCAAAGGGTCCCGAGTGTTGAGAGATCAGAGCTGAGACTGTCCTCAGAGAACACCCACAAAACCCTGTACAAGGAGGGTGAGAGACTGGATCTCTGACCCCCCACTCACATCCCTGGGTGCATGTGGGGGTGTCTAGTGAGGTCAAAGGTCACATCTCAGCTGTTTCTCGTCTTCCCTTAGGGATGAGGTGACCGTGGCCAGGGCTTGAATGTTGTCTGGGTCAGCAGCAGCTGGAGACGTGGCTGGCAGCACAGATCGGGGAGGCTCTGTCTTCCCCCCATGTTTAAATCCCACTTTAGAATTTCCACCCCGTTTTAGGCATCACTGTGCCCTGGGGATGGCCACCAACGCTTGTGTTTGTTTGTTTTGAGACTGGGTGCAGCTCAGGGTGGCCTCAAACTCTAGATCCTCCTGCCTCTGCCTCCCAAGTGCTGGATAACGGGTGTGAGCACGGAACAGAGCACTTCCTGGTGCACTGGGCCCTCACAGAGCTGAGGGGGCACCGAGGCCACTCACCTCCTGCTGAGGAAGGACGCTGAGGTTCTGAGAGGTTAAGTGACCGCCCAAAGTCACACAGCCAGAACGTGTCTGAGCCAAGCTTTGAACTCCTGGATGGTTGAGCTCTGTAGTCAGTTTCCTGCACTTACTACAGTGCAGTGGGTGGATGGTGGATGGGTGGATGGATGGGTGGGTGGATGGGTGGATGGGTGGATGGTGGGTGGGTGGATGTGTGGATGGATGTGTGGATGGGTGGGTGGATGTGTGGATGGATGTGTGGATGGATGGGTGGATGGGTGGGTGGATGTGTGGATGGATGGGTGGATGGATGGGTGGATGGTGGGTGGGTGGATGGGTGGGTGGATGGGTGGATGGATGGGTGGATGGTGGGTGGATGGGTGGATGTGTGGATGGATGGGTGGATGGTGGGTGGGTGGATGGATGGGTGGGTGGATAAATGGGTGGATGGATAGGTGGATGGATGGGTGGATGGATGGGTGGGTGGGTGAGAAGATAGAGGGGTAGGCGGGCGGATGGACGGGCAGGCAGACAAATGGGCGGACAGGCAGGTGGATGGGTAGGTGACTGGGTGCTTTGGGGGAAGGAACCCAAGGTCAATGAGCTCAGACTTCTTCAGGATCTTGGACGGCCTATGGCAACTTCTCCCATGCTGGGTGTTGCATCTCTTGTGGCTTGCGAGAGCGTCTGCAAGGGCTCTGGACTGTAGCTGGTCTCTTGTCAGCCCTTCCTGTCTGCTGCTGCAGGTCCCTAATCTCTGGAGACACCCATGCGGCAGAGTCCTGGCAGCTGAGCACCTTACATCAGCACCCAGGACCTGTTGGCCTTCCTCTTGAGGAAGGGAACTTGCTGAGTTGCCTACTCCAGGCAGCCAGCGAGTGACCAAGCCCAGCCTGCCTCTTGGACCCTGGGTGCAGCACGTGGGTGGACACTGAGAGTTCAGGGATCTGGGGCCCAGCTGGCCACCCTGAGATAGGCTTGTGATGGAAGTGGGGTCCAACCCCAGGAGGAAAGACTGGCCACTGAGCCTTGCTGGGCTGTGCCACCTGGATCAAGTCACTTGCCCTCTCTGGGCCTCAGCCGCATCTGACATAGTGGAGAATGAGGCTTGGGCTGGACTGCTAAGTCCCAAGTGCCCTCCCCAAACCTATTTATTTCCACACGAGACCCTGTTGTGAGGTTGGAGGTGAGGGCTGCCAGAGCCATTCTCCCATAAGCAACATCACTTAGCCTCCCCACAAGATCTCAGAATAAATTGACTCCTCCTTCTGGAATTCACCGTGGAAGGATATAACCCCTCCCCTGCCATCTTCAAACCCTCCCCACTTCCTAAGCTCCTTTTGCACTCTCTCCACTGTCTACCAACCCTGCACTCTGAGGAAGGCCTTCCTGCTATCTAACACAAGTTGAGCTCCTTAAACCAGAAGTCCAATTTCCTCAGGGCCCCACCTACGCAGAGCTGTGCTGGAGACCCGGGCTTCGGGGGTAGCCAGCCTGGGCTTTTGCCTTCTCCCGTGACTCTCAGCACATCTTGCTTTGGTCTCATTCTTCGCACGGTCTGGCTTTGAGCAGACTTCTGGGGGATCATCACCCCTCCTGGAAGCAGTGAGTGTGGATCAGAAAGGCTTTTCTAGAACTTGCCTACGGAAGTATCCCAGAAACCACAGCAGGGTGGAGCAGGGGGACAGCCGTGCTAGTGTTTAGGATAAGTGAGAACAGGGACCTGGGAGCAGCAGAGAAAGGCTAGCTTCTCTCCTGCACCTAGCCAAGGGAGACCTTGTACTTCTAATCCTTCTTCCTTCACCCAGTGAGTGCTGGGGTTACAGGCGTGTACCACACACACCTGGTTTTATGCAATGCTGGGGATGGAACTTCACACATGTTAGGCACGAACCCTACCAACTGAGCTGCAGCCCCAGCCCTGGAAATTGATTCCTTTTTTTCTTTCTTTTTTTACACTGTGCAGCCCTTGTTATCTTAGAACTCACTCTGTAGACCAGGCTGGCCTCGAACTCATAGAGATCCGCCTGCCTCTGCCTCTTAAGTGCTGGGGTTAAGGTGTGCGCCACCACTGCCCAACGTGGTTGAGTTCATTTTATGACAAGGGAATCAGAGGGATTTTCCTGAGACAGCACCTCAGATGTGGAGCAGGGCACCCCCCACCCCTCCAGAGCACATGGACGATGCTGTGGCACTGGGGTCATAGTGACTACCTGTCTGAC